AGTTTACGCTTCATTTCCCTCGCAAAGCTGAACAAAGATCTACAAGAGCTATAGACTTCGATTCTATGATCGACAAATCAACAAGTATGGTAATTAAAGGGAAGCACAAGAAATAATCATTTCTTAGTTGTCTTTCTCATTTTGAAAAAGTAAAAGGCTCTTGCTAAACATTTAAACTGCGAGAATTTATCTGAGGTAAGAGGAAAAAATGCCTCAATCGTAACGTAAGGGAACTTTTTCATTTTAAAGCATTTTTTGCGCATAAAAACATACATCGCTTTTATAACGACGTCGTTATAATGTTGCAAGTGCCCGTATTTCTAATTATGCCAATGATCGGTGATGCAATACTTAAGAAAGAGGAATGTAGTGCATTCTGCATATGTTTTGTAATGGCAGAAGAACCCGCAAACCGTACTATTATTTTTGCAGTAATCAAAAGATATCGAGGTTTACAAGGACACATAAAACTCGCTTAGAAGCGCTATCAGTAAGCGTTAAGATATTTATATTTCTGTTTATGCTACAACTGAATGTGTGCCATAATAACTGGGCACAAATACAAGGAAAAGGCATTGAGGGTCAACCCTGTAAGCTTTAAATTAGAAGTTTGCAGTCTAAGTTGAGTTGGTGGTAATAGAAGACAGTCGAGGACGAATCGCAGCGGTGTAGCTATCGTACATAGTTTAATTATGAGCCAAGCCCGGATTTCGATCGTTAGGTAACATGATGAGTAATAAAGCACTGGTATCTAGCAGTGCTGCTGCTATAACAACGGTAGCGATGGTCCTTAATTAACTATTGAAAATATCATTATTTGTAAGAGTATGAGATTATTAAGGGGGGTTACGTGTCAACAAATGAGCAATTATTGCGATACTGCATATCGGCTATCTACATTGAATTTGTAGAAGATGACAAACAAATCAGTTTGAAAGCTTAAGAGAGCTTCTCGTGCGCTTAGAGTATATAATATGTGAGTGCCATCGAGACGAAATTATAGCTTTCCTATACATGAGAAATAACTTCCAGCA